GATCTGAAGAGATCTAAGCCGGCGGTCTAGGCCGCCGCCTAAAAACGGAAACAACATTTAGACAGACCTAAGGTGGCGGTCTAAATAGATCTAAGCCGGCGGTCTGAACCGCCGCCAAACCGGCGACTCGGTGTGACCGCCGCTTTAGAGCAAATTGAACCGGCCACCTAAGGCGACGGTTATTTGCATCTAAGCTGGCAGAGGTTTAGGGGGCGGACTGAAGACCGCCGCCTTAGCCGGCAGTCTTTAAGGCCTAAGCCGGCGGTCAGGCGACCGCTGCCTTAGACCGATTTTCTTGTAGTGATTCTAGAACGAAAGGGTTAACGTGAAAATGATAACTAACAAAAACTTTTTGGAAAGTTATATTAATCACATGTTTTAAATGTGTAAAAAAAACTTTGAGAGGATAAACTGGGGAAGGAATGACAACTCAAGAAGCTTTTGAATGTGCACCCAAAAACTATAAATAGATACTTTCTATCCATTTGATAAGACTTTTGGACCTCATCCTCCACCCCTAAACTGCCATTTCTCTTCTCTCTCTCTCCCTTCTTTCCATTCCAACCATCCTCCATCTCCCATCTAGCCATCCATCACCCTTCATCTCATTGCCGGGATTTCAGTTCCAACGAGCTACATTGGCTTAATCCTTTGTCGGAGGGTATATAGGCAACCTCTCCAGGGGTTTGGCTGCTTGTCTTTCCTCCCTTTCCCCTTACCAACGCAGTAATTGGAGCAGCTCCTCGGATTTCAGAGTACAAACCATCACATCCACCAGCCTTACACATGGAAATTAGAAATTTTATAGGCTGTTATTTCTACACTAATGCAGGATTATTATATTCATCTTTTCTCTTCTTCACACCCTGCGTTTACATCTATTCCTTGTCACTCCTTTTATTAGATCTGTTGGGATGATATAGGGAAAGATTTGGTGGTTTTTGTACAAAATGTATTATTCTCCAATCCATGGCTTATCCAATAAGTCAATGGTACTACTTTGGTCTTGATTCCCAAAAGGGACAATGTGAAGCTTTCAAACTTAAGATCTATAAGCCTTACTAATGCTTCATATAAAGTATTTACCATGGTTTTCAAAATCGGACTGGAGCGGACAGTTGGACCAAAAAAACCGGTAACTGGTCAGCCCCCCAGGTCCGGTTATACTAGAAATCAGAAATTCCTAAAAAACGTTGAAAAGGTCAGAAAATCATTGACTCGAGCAGTCGGACCGCTAAACTATTCGACTCGGGCAGCGGTTCATGGGTTATCCTTTTTTATTTTCATTGTTTTAAATAAAAAAAAACAAAAAATAAAATGACTTCAATATCCCCAACCCAAAATCCAATGTTTAGGCCCTTTAGGGTTAGAACCCCATTTTCATTCTAACCCTTCCCTCCTCTCAACCCTCACACCCAACCAACCACATGCGGCAGCCAACACCTCCAGTGTCCGACGATGACGCACACCAACCGATGGAAATTAATGGTGACTGGCAACAGTGAGTTTGCAATGGCGGCCAACGTATTTTGTAGCATTTCCAGGCTTCAACAATAAGAATTGCGGTAGGCGGGGAGTTTGCGGTGGCAGTAACACCACCATTGGCGATTCTGCAAGTTGGAGCAGCACTTGCAATGGTAACTTGCCTGTGACCAAGCCCGAGCCCACCGGTGGCAAGCCCATTGTCACACCACCATTACCGGCACTTTGCAGTGAAACCATGAAGGACCTGAAGGTATAATTTTTTTTTTTTTGAATCTTGTTGTGAGTTTAAATGATTCTTTGACTTTACATTCCCTTTGTTAGTGGGCACTGATTTTTATATAGAGATTTGAGGGTTTATTTATAGATATTATATACACAAAGGGCATCTCTTTCACTGCCGACTACTCTTGATAGTTGAACCAAAACATGCAGAACTGGCCTTTCTTTGGATCTGAACTTGCTTGCCTCTATTTAACCCTAAAGGTAAATCATAAAACGGGTTTATTTACAGTCCTATTGCTTAGAGGCTGGACTGAACTAAAAATCCGAGTCATTGATGATTCTAAGAGTTCATCTGTTAGGTGTTGTTTGATTTTTACAACAGGCTCAAAATGTTATACTTTGGGAAGTTCCTTTGATTTTTCTTTTGATTTCTAAGTAACACAGTGCATATTAGATTCCAACTAATAATAGGACCTCGTATGGTTCTTGGTTCTTGATTCTTGATTCTTGAATCCAAACATAGAGCTTTGTATTCTTGTAATTTGACTTTAATTTTTTGAGGGTTTTCTTCTTGAAATCTCTATATGTTTTGTTTTATTTTTTCCTTTTTCAGTATTTTCTATTTTTTATGTACTTTGTTATTTTTGTATTTAGATAGTTTTTTTTTCTGTATCTTTTGTGTTTTTTCTGTATTTTTTAGAATTTTTCTGTATTTTATTTTTATATTTTCTGTGTTTTGTACTATATTATTTTTTATTTAGATAGTTTTAAATTCTGTATTTTTTTGTTTTTTATTTATTTTTTATTATTTATAAATATATTTTTTATTTTTAATTTGTTTATGACATCACAGGTCGATCCATTCGATCCAAACAGTTGAACCGTTTAACCAGAAACCGGTCCCCTGACCGGTTCGTTTTTAAAAACCATGGTATTTACTAAGCTTATATGCAAGAGGTTGGATATTGTTATTGTCCCCACTTCCTTTCATAATGCATTCACCCTTGGCAAGCAAAGTCAGGACGATCAAATCAAGGCAATCAAATCATTGCCTCTCCAAGGCTAATGACCAAGTCGAGTGGGAATTTCTCTTATGGAGTCTTCAGAAACATGGCTTCTTTAATTAATTTTGTTCCTTGATTCGAGCATGTCATACTATTGAATGAAAAACTTGGACCATCCTTTACACCTAGACAAGGGCTTCGACAAGGTTTCCCTCTATCTCCATACTTCTTCATTCTATATATGGACCTACTTTCACATATGTTTTCTATTCAATAGAAGGATGGGTCTCTTAAGGGTATCAAGCATTCTAGAGAATGCCTTGCCCTAATCAACTGATGTTTGTTGGTAACATCATAGTGTTTGGCAGAAGTAATGAACGAGAAATTCAAATACTTGAATAGCTTTTCTTGGAGTTTAGCTCTTACTTAGGTCAAGAGATGAATTTTTCCAAATCCTCTATTTATTTTAGTAGAAACAAGGTTTTTGAACTCACGTTGTGGACAGTCAAACATTCAGTCCGGGAACCGTCCAAGCAATTAGTTATGTTTTACCCCAAATTCGATTCTTGGCTAAAAATTATTGAATTGATCAATAACCGATTGACCCAGGCGATTGAACCATTGATCCATTCAACAATTTTTTATTACTTTTTATTTTAATTCTTTTTTTTTGTCAGAACGGGCCATCCGTTTAAACCAAACGATCGAACCATTAACCTAGAAACTAATAGTAAGAACGGTTCCAATTTTGGATCGGATTTTAAAACATTAAGTAGAAATGTTCATCGGAGAACAAGAGCTGCTCTTGCACAATATATGGGAGTTTCTCTTATAAATTTCTTGGTCCTCCCTTCTACAACATGGTGGTCGTTTAACTAGGCATTTTATTCTTGATTAATTGAAAAATAAGCTGGCCACTTGGAAGGCTCATTGTCTCTCACATGCAGGTAGAGAAGTACTAATTAAGTCCACTATTTAGTCCATTCCATTCCTACCTATTTCATGTCTACACTTAATTTGTCACAAGCTAATCATCCCAGCATCAACTCTATTTGATTTCTAGTGGGGATACAACTTACAATCCTAATCAATCCCATATTTATTCCAAAGCTGGTCTAAGTTTACGAAGAGAAAATATCACGGTGGTTTGGGACTCGAAGAGGCTTCACTTAAAAACAGAGTTCTTCTTATGAAACTTTCATAGCACTATCTCTCTGAACATGATAGGTTATGGTCTCGTCTACTTTTTGGACGGTTAAGAAGAAGATTTTAGATTGGTGCACGATCTGATGCTTTTTGTTGGTGAACAACTCGGACGTCAAATTAGGTAGGCTGCTTGGTGGAACTGTAAAGAAAAAGAGAAAAGATCAGAATACCTGAACTGCTTTATCTAGTGTAGGCAATCCTACGCTTAAATTAATGAACTGGAGTTTTCAGAAAGCTAGATCAAAGAAGACATGGTGTGAATCCATAAACCAACAATGAATTCAGATAAGGTACCAACATGCAGTCCCAACATGCCATTGTAGCTGTACAACTGAACATCTCCATGAATGACAAGGCCCAAAGTTCGCATCTACGCTCCCACAACACATCCCAACCGTGTCTTGGGATATCACGCTGGAGCCGGGATCTGCTCCTCACATATGGGTGCCTCACAGGCATATGTGAGGAGCTGATGTGAATTGGGAACATCTCCCATGAATAATAACTAATAAGTACGGGAGATGTTCCCAATGCATGGTATGATGTGTGTGTGTGAGGCGCTTGTGAGGCTGTCAGGTGTGAGGAGCATGATCTGGTCTCATCATGTTGGGTGCCAATGGGGAGCTGATGTGAATTCCAAGGTCCAAGGAGATGTTTGCAAAGGAAACGGGATTTGCTCCTTACACATGGGCGCCTCACAGATACATCCATCGTGCATTGGAAACATCTTCCATGAATAATAATTTATAAATACGGAAGATATTCCCAATGCATGATACGATATGCATGTGAGGTCGGTGTGAGACGCCCTGCGTGAGGAGCAGATCCCGTCTCTTTGCAGAGTGCAGGGGCATGTTGGGACAGTATGACCGTTTAGTGATAGCAGATCCCTATCCACTAAAAACAGGATGAGACCCAAGTCCGTTTGCCAAAAACATGATTTGACCGAATACCGGCCACCTTTTTTTGTTATATATTTTAACTGTTTATCATTTATTAATTTTGTTTTAGTATTTTTAAATGAGAACATTATCCTTATTGAATCATCTTCCATTCTAAAATCGATTTTCATTTTGCGACAAGTCGCTTTCTTTCTTTTACTCAATTATCACCCGCTAATCGTCCACTCTGCCTGCTTCTATCTAGCAGAGTAAACTCTATCATGGAGATGGACAAGCCAGAACCAACATGGGCGGAATTGCTAGGAAGCAAACAGTGGGAAGGTCTGCTCGACCCACTAAACCTAAGCCTCCGGCGACTGATCCTCCGATGTGGGGATCTTTGCCAAGCCACCTACGACGCATTCAACAGCGACCCACGCTCTAAGTACTGTGGCAGCAGCCGCTATGGCAAGCGTTCCTTCTTTGAGAAGGTAAAATTCCAGCCCGCTTCTGACTATGAAGTTGCTGCCTTCCTCTATGCCACCTCCCGCGTCGACGTCCCTCAAGCCTTCCTCCTCCACTCCCTCTCACGAGAAGCCTGGGACCGCGAATCCAATTGGATTGGATACATCGCCGTCACCTCCGACCATGTCAGTAAAAAAGTTTTAGGGAGACGCGAGATATACGTAGCATGGCGAGGAACCACTCGGAATTACGAGTGGATCGATGTCGCCGATGCAAAGCCTAAGTCCATCAAGTCACTACTGAATTCACAGACGCAAGACCATACTCAACAGCAAAGCCACTGGTACGATCTTATCCTGGACAGAGTTCACGACAATGGCAGCGGCGACAGTAGTGACGAGGAGGAGGAGGATAGGACGCCGAAGGTCATGAAGGGTTGGTTCACCATCTACACCTCTAACGACCCAAAATCCCCCTTCACTAAACTGAGTGCCAGAGCTCAGTTCGTAACCAAGATGAAAGAACTGGTGGAGCAATACAAAGACGAGGAGCTAAGTCTTACACTAACAGGTCATAGCCTTGGCGCATGTCTAGCCATCCTGAGCGCTTTCGATGTCGTCGAGAACGGGTTGTCGATCCCTGTAGCAGCAATTGTGTTCGGCTGCCCACAGGTGGGTAACAAGGCATTCGATCAGAGGATCAAGAAGTTTTCAAACCTCCGAATCTTGCACGTAAAGAACGCAATAGATCTAATACCACACTACCCAAGCAGGGCACTGGGGTACCATTACACTGGCACTGAGCTTGTGATTGACACTCGGAAATCGCCAAGCTTGAAAGACTCCAAGAATCCCAGTGACTGGCATAACCTTCAAGCGATGTTGCATGTGGTTGCGGGTTGGAATGGAGCAGACAAGGAGTTCGAATTGAAGGTGAAGAGAACTATTGCTCTGGTTAACAAGTCCTGTGATTATCTAAAAGAAGAGTTATTGGTTCCTCCGTCATGGTGGGTTGAGAAGAACAAGGGCATGGTGCTTAACCAAAATGAGGAATGGGAGCTGACCCCGCCATTTGAAGATGATATCCCTGTCCCTGAATTTTGAGTTCTATTATCCATTTCAGTGCGGTTTGATGATTGATAGATCGCATCTAGTTATTATACACTACTTCGATAAAAAGTTGTACCATCAAATAATCTACTATGAGACTCTGGATTAATTCATGTTATGTTGGTTAAATTTTTACAAGTCTTGAAATGAATATGGTCAAATATAGATGCTACATTCTTGTGATTTGGTCAATGAGATTATTCATTTGAACTGGATTCAGGCCAAATTACCCATTTACAGTTTTCCTTCATTACATGCTTACTGGAAATATGCATCTTGCACCACAAGCTCCCTCCATCCATCGTCAGCAGGCACAGATACAATCTGATTTGAGAAAAACAGAGCAAAATTGAATATATGCAAAGCTTCACAAGACCTGACAGAATTACAGTTCCCAGCAACCTATTTATAAGTAACGTTTTACATGTCAAAGTGATAACTGCAGAAAAACTGAGGAACAGTTATTTGTTACGTTTTTTACATCCCATTCTCCTTCTCAAAGTACATACTATAAGGTGGGACAAGAAACCTTTATGTGAAATCTTGGTTCACAATTTTGTTGTGTTGGCTAGGGGGAATAGGAAAGAATCAAATAAAAAATCATCGCAATGGTGTACAAAGATGCAGACAGGAATAGATAACTTGAATCCAGAAGAAAGGATAAATACATAGATATGCAGGACAAGGAATTATATAGCTATTTTTCTTTTCTGCACATAACAGCTACAGGCAAAGAGAGAGAGACGACACTTACAAAGCAGAGAAGAAAGTCAACCAGACCTTATGTAGCTTCCACTGAAAGGATCTCCAGCTCTGCCCACCAGAGTGGAGAAAGCCTCGGGGTTGCTGCATCAGGTGAGATAGGAATCACCTCCCTCAGTTTTGAGGTGATCTCCCTCATCGTTGGTCTCTGCCTTGGATCCTGATGGGTGCATTCCTCAATCACCTCACAGATGATGTCAAGCTCTTCGTTTTTGAATGATTTGAGTGTGGGATCAATCATGGAACTGATGTTCTTCTTATCATTCAAGTATTCAGAAGCCTGGGAATGAAATATTTTATGAAAAAGAAAACATGATTAAAAACAAAAATTATAAAACTAGTCAACTAAGACTAAAAAACTAATGAAGGGTCAAGAGACATGTTTTCTTTACCCAGTTCAAAAGAGACCCTTCTTCAGAAGATGGAAGCCTGGCAGAAATAGTTTCTAGCAGCAATAATCCAAAACTATAGACATTTGTTTCAGGATCAGAAAGTGGAGGCAATAAAGAATGCTCTGCTTCATCTTCACCAGATGCCTTTGAATTGGAGCGGCCATGTGCTGAGAAAAAGATCTCTCCAATCTGTAGCATTAGACAAATAAATTAATAAATAATAGTACTCAACAACAATGAAGATCTGAGTGGACTTAAAAGAACTTTGTCTGTACCTTAGCTGCATAATCATCTGTCAAATAAATATAACAAGATTGCAGATCGGAATGTGCTACAGGTGGGTTCAGCTCATGATGCATGTATTGAAGACAATAAGCTACTCCCATAATAATCCTCATCCTGGTATTCCAGTCAAGATGTTCAGCGTCCTTAACTGCAAGACAAAAATTATAATGCTTTTCCCTTTCAAAATCCAAGCCTCTTATTTATGTGGTATGTTCGTAGTACAGATAAATAAAGAATTAAAATGGAATTATTACCATGCAAATGCTCGAAGAGACTTCCATTTGGAGCATATTCGAATACCATCATCCTATTGAAAGGTTCATCTTCTTCGCAATAGCCCAAGAGATTGACAAAATTCTTGTGGTTTACTCGTGAGAGAGTATCAATCTAATGTAGGTCCATACCAAACAAAAAATAAAGAATGCTAAGATTATGGTGGTTTTGGGGTGCCTACTTTATAGTGTCCTACCTACTTAATTCCAAGGTATATTATTAGTCACAACTAAAATCACATACCTTCTTTCTGTAGGACATCTCTGAGCATTTCAACCAATCTTTAGAGGACGTAACTGTAGTTGATACAACTGCAATCTCAACGCCACTGGACAAAGTTCCCTTAAACACTGTGCACTCTTCAATGGTACAAATAATGTTACTGAAATCTTCACAGGCTACTTCTAGCTCTGAACGATTCAGCTTGGGCACCCCTATATTTCAAATAATAAATGTTTCATTACTCAATATGCCATTTTTTTAGTGCAACTAAGATGACAGATGATAAATTTTGAGTAACAATATTACCAGTGACAAATGCCTTCTGTAATTGGCCACTCAATCCAGTCTTCCAAGGACCTATGGTTCTCACTGCTCGGTTTTGGCATGTACAAAACATTGCTACAACAATGATGAGAACTAATGCCACAGCAATAATGATGAGAATATATTTCCATCCTTTTCCAAATGAACCATCAGTTATTGGTTTTTGGTCATTAGGGCTTTGGGAAGATTGGTGCAATGGAGGATTTGAGGGAGGGGGCATCAATGAAGGTGGAGGATATTGTTTCTTAGCATTTGGTACCGCAGGAAAAGCCCCACTACTTTGGGTAGTTGGAACAACAGGCATCTCTTCAGGGATTGCACTACCACTTGCAGGTTCTGCCATGAGGTTACTTGATTCTTGAAGCAGTTTGCGCCGTACAAAATTTACTATGTCCTGTACATTTTGTAATATGTATGGTGAGTCTGGACCTGCAAGAAGAATTTGCACTCTTTTGCTCAATGACATAAAATTTTTCATGTTATAATGGCAGAAATGTAATAAGGAGCTTGCACTCACTTGGTGTATCATCACAACATTCCTCACTATGGTCATGCGAAGAGCCCCTTCCAAACTTGACACTTTAGAGGAAAAGCAAAGAGTTTCCTTAGTTAAAAATAAGTAATGACCATTATTATGTTCTTTAAAATAAGTTAATATATATAATACATAACGATACATATAATACATACTGTGGGAGCAACTCAAGGTAAAGCTGAAGTTTCCCTTTAATTCTGAATAAGAAGGAATCTTCTTTGCTCAAGTGTTTCAAACTGCTTTGCCAGATGCTGCCAAAAACATGGCCCATCAACATACTGGTAAAACTGTGAAAAAAGCTGAAAAGTCAATAGAAGGAAACTTATGACAAGTATATTTGATGAATATCTTTCCATAAGAATATAAGACTAAATAATTGCTAGAACATAATTCCCAAGAAAAATTAGCTAATAAATTCTTGTATGATAAAGAGTAAAAAGATTTCACTCTAGTCAAAATTTAATTGAGCGCAAAATTAGTAAACCATGAAATATAATTAGAATAGGAAGTGAACTATTCATTCAAGTAGGGAATGCCCAAATATTATTATATGAAAGTTGATCCATCTTGTTTTAATGTTAGAGCAATCATTATGTTTCTAATTAGCTAAAAGGTAAATTCAATATATCTCAACTCTGCACCAGACATGCACATAAATTCCAAATCTAATTTATTGATAGACTCAATTAGGGAAACTAAGATGAATTGAGATCTCTTCTATGGAACGCTTGTATGTTCATAGGAAGGCATGCATCCAAGAGCTTATAGTGTCACAAAAGAACAAAAACCATGAATAAAATCTCTTACCAATGTCCAAATTTTCTATTTAGACAACTGATTCCAGTTAGCTCATCAGATGTGAGGTTTTGATCAAATTGTAATTCAGATAGCAAACTAAGATTCCCAATCTCAACAGGAATTGTGCCTTGAAACTTGTTGTTGCAAAGCAGCCTAAAACACCAAAAACAAACAAAAATGAAATAATTTAATCAATGTTAATGGGCATTTAGAACCTTGAATGTGAAGCACCGATACAAATTTGTAAGGACTCACAGGCGCTTCAGTGAGAGCATTCCCCCAATTTCAGCTGGAATTGTTCCACTCAAATTATTATTCCTCAAATCCAAAAGCTCCAGCATTCTAAGTGCACTAATCTCTTTGGGAATAACACCTGAGAAGTGGTTCTTGTAAAGGATACTGTCAATTCAAACAAATAGAAATATTTAATGAGGACCTTCTAACCAACTTGTTGGCAATCATGAAAGGCAAAATGAGGTCATTAATTAAAGTATAAAAAAAGAACATAACATTATCATCCACTGAAATTTTGTCTAATGTCAATATTATACATAAGGCATACTTCTGAATAGAACAGATTTGTTTTTCAAGGAGAATCCAGCTTTGTATAAAGAATATTTCAAGAGAAATTTTCCACACCCATTAGCATGAATGCTCATGTCAAGGTACAGAGTACAGGAATCTTCTATGTTTCATTTGGTGGCTGAGATTTCTCATTTGAATCTCAAGTTTGATATTATTTCTAGAAGTCAAGGTTTTGGTTTGTCATTCCCAAAGTTGTAGACATTCCTTGTATTACCATGATATAGAATTTACTAGCAATATCAGAAATGAATTTTTTTGATAGATAATGTCAGAAATGAAATTAAATTACCGTTTACGTTGATCCTCTACTTGCCACCAAGTGGCACCCACTGCATATACTGCATTGATCCAGAAATTGACTATTGAACTAGCACTTTACTTAGAACATGCTAATCACCTGTACTGACCTAAGATAGTTAAAAACCATTCTAAATACAGTATAAAAATGAGCTTTGCACTTTAAATATGCTAAAAATTCTAAGAGTGATGCATTGAACTTCCCATTAATAAAAAGGAATAAGGTACAAGAGAGGGGAGCTAAACTTTCCCAACTCCCCAAGGAGGCCAAAAGCCATCCAAAAGAAAAGCTTACAGTTACAACTGAGCCCAGAAAACAGAAACCCTATTTACCCCTTGTCTAGCTAGCCCATCAGCAAAGGAGTTTGCACTTCTCTTCACCCAAGTACATTTTACATCAATATCCTTTTTCAGCCACTTAAACTTTCTCTTTTCATTGCTGTAATGCCAGAGATCATTTTGGTCTTCTTTTGACCAGCCCACTACAATCTCAGAATCAGCTTACTGATATTCAAGTCTTTAGCTCTTTTTACTCCTTCCACAGCTGCCAAAATCTCAGCCTTAGAGAATCACCTTCTCCAATTGGGCCTGAGAAAAGAGCTATTACATTCCCATCTGCATTCCTTAATATCCCTCCAATTCCTAAAGGCCCTGGATTTCCAATACTACTGTCATGGAATTTCAGCTTGATGAAGCCACTAGGAGGAGTCCACATAGGACTTTAAGTCTTCTTAATTAGGGCTGAGTTCGCAAGCTATTCTAAGAGTGATGCATTACATAATGGAGTTGTTGGGAGAATCTTATTTTTCTCTGGTAAATTTGTGAGAATTCATGATTCATATTTCTTGTTTTATATTATGCCATTCCTACAAGTAACATTAGAATGTGATTTCATGTAACTGTCGGTTCTTAGGACCACATGTTTCACAGCTTCTAACACTGTAGGTCATAGATGAAAATTAGACAGAGATGTAGGATTGCAAAAAAATGATATTAATCAGGATAAGAAACATATTAACCAGGACTTAAGCAAGTCACTGCTGTCAGAGGGGGAGAGTTAAACTCTTTTTACTTACAGCGATCTTAAGTGAGTAAGATTTCCAAGTTCAGGCGCCAGTATTCCTTCCAGAGAAAGCCCTTGTAGATCACTACAAATAGAGGCAAACAATGTAAATAATTGTTCAGCATAAGTAACATAAACATAATGTAAGATTCAACAACAAACAAACGTCACAAGCAATAAAAGTCTCAAAAAAGTTTAATAAATGTTAATAAAATTCCTTATTCTGAAAAATCAACCCATTGTATACAGAAACTTATGAAAAAGAAATGTGAACTCAAAAAGAAGAACCAAGAGATCTATTCATCATATTATGCTTTGAAGAAATTCATCAGCCTAGAAAAAATATAAAGAAATATATCAGGAACTTACAGCATTTCCACTTTACCGTCCACACAGTGAACGCCTGACCACATACAAGGGTTGCTGTCATCGGGGTTCCAATTTGAAAGAGCGCCATAAGGATCAGAACTCACTCTTGCCCGAAACTCCAGTAAAGCACATCCTACGCTTCCAGCCCAATTGCATTCAGGAAGAGAAATACCAATCAAACCACACAATCTTAATCATAAGAAAATTGGTATGGCAACACTACAGAGATACAACATGTTTACCCAACAACTACCTTCAGCATTAAGCGACCAACCCTGTTGAATTTCCAGAAGAAGCATCAAAACCAGAAAGCACGGAACTCTGTGGAGCTGGAGTCCAAAAGGATTCCATCTAACCTCCATTGCTTGGTAGACCAAATGCCGTGTTGGTGGTGGTAGTAACAATCCAAGGACCAAGATGCTACACATATTCGCCAGGTTTCTCTGTCTTCTTTTTCTTTTTATTTTTTTTTTCCTTTTTTTAACTTGATACAAACACTCCCATCAATAACCGACTCTTAACAGTAAACAACAAAGAAAAAATAGAAATTAAACCATTATAGAATCTATAGTGCTTGTGCTTGTCGATCAATCTGCCAATCTGGGTCCCTCGTATTTTGCGATCTAATTTGTATTACAAGCCTTCATTAAGGATTGCAGAGCTCGACTCAAATTATTCTGCAAACTCCAAGAAGGAGCCTCTGTGAAGCAACCAGAGCTGGAAAAACAAAACAAATTCTGAATGAATTTTAAATACCCACCAAATAAAAACTAAAAAGGTAAATAAAAAATATAGAATTCTTTCAACAAAAGCAAGTTGAAAAGAAACCCTCATTCACAAGCAATCCAAGGAAAAGGAAAGACGGGCTGAAAAGGGGAAAGAGACAGGCAGGACAGATGGGAGGGTAAAACTTACCGAAGTTCAGAGGCAACAACAGAAACACAATAAGAAATCAACGCCTTCTTCTTCTTCTTTCTTGTTATTGTTTTTTCGTTTGAAACAGGGTTGAGAACGAATTGAATATTTGGGTGAAAGGGTGGCTGTTGGGAGGAGATTGTGAACGAGGCAGCAAAGAAAGAGGGTGGCTGTCTATCTCTCTCTTCTCTCTCTCTCTTTTTCTTTTCTTTCTTGCTTTGTTTTCCTTCCTTTCTCCAACCTCACCAACCACCCCCCCAAACTGTCCTGTTTTTTTTTTCCTTTTTTTTTAAATTTTCTTTTTTAGTCGGTCCCACTTTCTTTTACATAATTACATTTTTCTTTTTTTTCTTGGTATTTTTGTGTTTAGATTTTTAGTGGACTCACATTTGATCGCCGGACTTCAGGCCATTAACTGCCACCGCCGGCGAGATATCCTTCCTCGCGGGGTTTTCGTGGCGGTAATGAGTCCCACCTCCGACGTCCCCGGACGCGCCAAAATTTCATTTGCCCCCGTTTGACCAGGACTCCGGTCTTAATACTCTTATCAATGAATGGCTCACGGCAGTGATTAAAATATGGGCTTCTAGTGGATAATGGCAATTTTTTGCCCCTAATATTAATAAAAATAATCATTTTTATATAATATCTAGAATATATATATATATATATATTAAAATAAGAAGGTTTAGAAACTTTTTTCTTTTTTGAATTTTTTAATTTTTTTAATACATGTTCTTTTTGAAAGTATCAATTAGAAACTCTATTTTCACCAAAAAAAATCTTTCTAAAATCTCTTTTTCTCACATGTTCCAATAATCTAAATAATTTAATATCCTAAACAACCTATTCCACTATCCTCAACTTTCTCCTAAATTATCTCTAATTTAGTAGGGAATTTCTCTCCTAAATTATCTTTAATTATTATTTATCTTCTCCCCCATTTTTTATCTACTATCGAGTTCGACTTCAGGGCAAAGCCCATTTGGACAGCTTTTACTGTCTTGCATTGAGAATATCTCCATACTTGTGTGCTATATTTCGTATGGAAATATTTCCAATGCAAGGTTGCAAAAGGTTGTTAGAATGGTGTGTGCACACATTTGCCCTAATAGAAGCTAATCTCACATCTATCTAAAGAAAGTTTGAATTAAAAAAAATTTAAGAATTATTTAAATACTCTAACAAAATTATATAATAACTTTAAAGTATTTATTAAAAAGACAAAAAATAACTATAATCGATTTATTAATATTCATATTAGTAATAATTATATATTTTTACAAAATTCATCACGAAATTATGTACAAAAAATATAAATTATGATTTTTTGGATTATCCAATCTAAATGTTAATCAAATAATAAAAATCTAACATTAAAAATGAAATATTACTTAAATAATTCAATAACTAAATATTTTATATAACAAAATATTTAACATAATTAGATTTTAAATAGTTAAAATAACAAAATTATGTATTAATAGTAATATAATTTTATGGATTATTAAATTCAACAAGTAATTAATATTTTAAAATTTAAAAATGATATTATTTCAATAAATCAACACTATTGTAAATAACCAATTTCATTTATACCAATTAATAATTCTAGAAAATAACTTTCAAAAAAAAATAATGTTTATTAATAATAATTTAAAAAACATAATCTATATTTATTATATATTTATGTATACAAAAATTAATATTTATTGTATTTTAGTAATTTTTTATTATTTTCTATGATAAATATATTTTCAATAATTATGTATAAATCTATTTTGTTTTTTTTATTTAAAAGAAAATTTTCAATAATTATTGAAGTTTACTATTATTTAGCTTTTTTTAATTTAATTTATTGTTTATTTTGCTATAAATTTTTAATAATTATTGGTGATTAAACTATTGTTCACGGGTTGGTTCGGTTTAGTTGTAAGTTGTTTGGCCAACCAAATCGACTTAGTTAGGTTGGGGAATTAGACACTTAGGTTATATCAGTTTGGGCCAATTTTCGGTTTGGTAAATCAGTTCAAAAGATTTAAACTTAAAAAATTAATTTAAAATTTAAGTTTAAAATTTTAAAAAAAGTACAATGGCATTATTAAAAAAATTTAAAAATTAACTTTATGATATAAAATATTTTAGCCTAGGAAATATTGGAATTTTCCCACTTTCCTGTATTAAAATAATATATTTAAAATATAAAATATTAATATATATTTATGGTTGGGTCATTCGATTTTAGTCAGTTTACAAATGACCAAAGCGAAACTAATCCAACCTATTCGGGTTATGAAATTGTTGAACCAAAGTCGATTGGAAATATTATAAATCGGGTTGGTTAGTTTCATTAGTTTGATTAGGAATGGCAATGGAGCGGGGTGGGGACAAAGAGCCTCTCCCCATCCCTGTCTCCACGGGGATCTCGACTCCCCGTGACTCTTTATAATGTCAACCATTATTTTTTGTTTTTTATTTTATTTAGAATGTAAAAATAAAATAATTAAAATTTACAATCATATTAGAAAAGATTCAAACATATTCAACCACATTTTTTAAAATATTAACATATAGACTTATGTATACATATATACATATATAAACATATGCGTATATACACATATATTAGTGGAAATCCCATGGGATGGGGATCGGGGTCCCCGCAAGGCAAGGAGTGCTCTCCCCATCCCCGTGGCGTCCCCACTAAGGGTAATCATCCCCATCCCGCCCCATTCAGGGCAGATCCCCATGGGGATTGGGGAAATGGGGAAAATTGTCATCCCTAAGTTTGATAAATAACCCTATCTAAAATTAATTATTGTTATTTTTGTATTGCAAAAAATATTATTAAAAGTAGTATATAAAATATAAATGATTATTAATTTTATATAAAACAATTGTATACTCTTGCATATTTCTATTATTTATCTTTAACTTAGCAAATCCCATGCATTGCACAGGTTCCCGCTAGTTATATTAAAACAAGGAAATCTAGAAACTTTCTCCTTTTTTTCTTATTTTTTAATTTTTTATTTCATGTCATATTTGAAAGTATCAAT